TGTATACAATTTGCACCGAGGCGCCGTGAGCGCTCGGACAGGCGCTGGTTGGAGTAAATATAATTCTTGACACTTACTTGTTTATTTGTATTCACAAAAAAGGTTCTGTTGCCAACCACAATCTTTGTGCCCCATTCAACATCATCTGAAAAAATGTGGAAATGCTATTGTGTTTTGTTCATTTGGAATTTGCTACCAACTATCAAATTATACCCAATGCTGCTTTTTTGCTAGGAAAATGTCAAAAATTGGTCTGAAATGATTCCCGATTGTTGTGGCTCGCTAGATCGCACCCAATTTGGACATTTACCACCATTTACCAGGGTAGCTCCAAAATGTAGGATAAAATTGATTATTTCTTTCAAAAATTTACTCTATGAAGAATCTTGAGTAAATTTTTGAAAAAACTTGCAAATTTATCCTACTTTTTCGTGCCGGATAAATGATGGTAAATGTCCTGATTGGGTGCGATCTACCGAGCTATAATGACCGAGAATCATTTCAGGACAAATTGTTAACATTTCTCAAAATTTATCCCGAGCAAAAAACAGCAATTTTCTTGGATATTAAGTAGCTCATGGTTATCAGCTAAGGATGCACAATTGCACATAATATTTGAAAACCTGTTTTTCTTAACTTTCAATTTTTTTAAAAATAAAATACAGGGTCTTACCGATGTTAGACGAACTATTTTCCAATGTTGTGTTTGTCCAAAATAGTAGGGAATTAACATACGGCATAAGCAAGGACTTAACATCATCTATAATTTTAATAGAAACAGTCCCGTTCAAACAAATGCAAATTAAAATAAATTTCAGAATTGTTCGCGACGTTCTTACCATCGACATTTATTGCTTTACACGTCACAATCGTTGCAAATGAAATATGCAATAAAAGCGCACCATACCATACAAGTTTCAACATATTTTTGATGAACAGCTATTCAAATTTGAAAATTCAACCGAGAAACACTGAAATATAACGACTATCCAGAATATTTAATTTTCAACTAACGTCTTTAAAATATAAAGCCAAAGCAAAAATAAATTTCCAGCGATTTATATAAGTGAGTGCATTTGATATGCTTTGCTGAGTTAACTCTTTTAGCTTTTCTAATCAATAGAATGCAAAATAATGTCACAATCGCCTGTGTAGAACACTAACAAAACAAAGTAAAACACGAATGTATATACGTACATATTTCAGAAAATTCTTTATTTGGAAAAATTAGCGTTTCAATTTGTGCGAACTGGATAGAATTTTGTTGTTATAAAACCCGTTAACAGTGGATTCGTGGGCAAACAATTGAGTTTTTTTTATCGATTTTATTCATATTAGCATTTACAATTTGCTCTCCATATATGGCGAAGATTTTCAAAAATATAAAAAATTGTAAAAGGGGGCTAAACCTTTGGCCGAAAGTAAATTACGTTGGGAATATCAACTTTAGTTTAGTTCGACCCAATTCCTTTGCGGGCCATAATTTTGATTGATATACCGAGAAAGATGATCAATGATGTCCTTGGAATTTTGTCCAGGTGCAATTTCTCTAGCAAAATATTTGAATAATTGAATAGCAACGTGGACATCTAGTGCCGCATATTCAATTTGTGGGCGACTTAACGTTGGCGCTTCCCAATCTGAACATTGCGTTGATTTATCGAGGGGAATTCCTAAATAATCTTTCGCCATCTTCTTCAATCCACCTGGTGTGCATCGGGCAGCAGTGGCCATGAACCTTAAATCAAGCGTACTTGCAACGTGAACACCGTAGTCATCTTTCAAGTACTTAGCGTCTGTGTAGGGGGCCACGCCGACCTTCACGATGTCACTGTCTTCTAATATCTCCTGGGAAAAAAAAGCAAAAAAATGGAAATTTAAACTTTTTTTCAATAAACGATGAATATTCAAGTCTGCAGCAGATGTGCCATGCCTATTTTTTGTAAATATTGCTTTTCAAGTGGCTTATTCACACTCACTTCTAGTTCAGGCGGAGTGTATCGCAATTTCCATAGGCGAATGAGAACACACAGTCCACGATGGGTGGATAATTGAAGAAGAGCAACTGGTGAACGGCCGATTCCCTGATGCGAAACCCATTCGCAATCAAAACCAAGCACATTATATTCGTCACAATGCCTGAAATAAAATGAAATCAAATTATTGTAATTTTCAAATATTTTTCAAAAAAAAAGCGACAGAAAAATTCCCAACTCACGTTTTGAGTTGTCTCATAGAATATCGACACTCTTCAACCGTGTTGACCACATAAATTTCCCCAAATTGATTTCGGGAAATTTGCTGGGGCCGTTGATATAGAATTTGATCGTCGTTTCTATTTGGTTGATTTTGTTGCGGTTCATTTGAACCAAAGAACGATTCAAATAACTTATATGCACCATATCCAACGGCCGCTCCAATTGCCACCGTTGTTGCTGCTGCCGCCACCGACGGTCTATTATTATTATTATTATTCCGACGATCCATATCCCAAAATTCAATATACACCCGTTGTTCGTATACACCAAAAATATATCTGCTCTTTTCAATTGAGTATCTTGTAAACAAAGAACTTGAACCAAAATAATAACACGTATTATCACATTCCATTTGACACTTGGGCGAAATGTCAAAATAGCTTAAAACGGTCAATAATGTGAACCAAGTAAGGTTTGAACGTTGATGTGAAAATAATATTAAAAAGACTATTCAGTCAACTGGATTCTGTTTGGCTTTAAAAATGTTTTCTACATTCCAAACAGCAAGAAAGACTAAAAGCGAATTCTTCAAAAAAAAAAAAAAAATCTGTAATTTTCATTTGATTTATTTATGGAATTGTTTGCGATTCAAACACTGAACTGCCGTCGTATAATGTAAATATTGAAAGACTTGCGTTCGGTCGGTTATCATTATAAAATTGTATATGGCATATGGTTTTAGAAGAGTTTTATAAAAAATAAAAAAATGGAATTCATGTATTTTGTTCATCAATTCATTGGTGGCCCATAATTTTTATCGATATATTCCAAGCAGTAATTTGAGATGATGTCGTTTGAACTCCTTCCTGGTGCAATTTGATCGGCGAAATATTTGAATAGACCGAAAGCTGCGTGTACGTCCTTGGCAGCATATTCGATTTGATCGCTGCTCAAATTGGCCGCTTCCCAGTCCGAGCATTGCAACGATGCGCTTTTATCAAGTGACAGACCCAAATAGTCTTCCGACATCTTTTCCAATCCTCCCGGTGGATGTCTAGCTGCATGGGCCATGAAACGTAGATCCAGTGTACTGGCCACATGAACACCATAATCCTTGTACAAAAAGTTGGCATCAGTGTATGGAGCAACGCCGACCTTCACTATGCTAACATCTTCCAGTAATGACTACGAAAAATCGAGAAAAAAAAACTAGAAATACGAGTTTTGTTCCACAAGTAAAAGGTCTTTTTCGGTATTTTCGAAGAAACTACAGGCAAATTTGTGCATTCACAGATTTGATTCATTCCTAAATTACCTTTAGCTCCGACGGAATGTGTCGCAATTGTGACAATTGAATGAGAACACACATGCCACGATGTGTTGACAATTGTAATAATGCCACTGGCTGTCGGCTACCCCATCGTGAAACCCATTCGCAATCAAAGCCAAGCACGTTGTATTCTTCACAATGCCTGAAGAATGTTAAATTTTCAGAATATTTTAGATTGGCTAGATTTTGCCCAAAAATGTCGAATTGAAAGAAATTAATTGAAAATTGCAAGAAAATTTTACAACTAAAATCCACAAAATTTATTAACTGCTTCAATTGACATACAATTTAAGTTGTTTGAATGAATAACGAAACTTTTCCACGGCATCAATCACAAAAATGTCCTTTTGTAGGAAGGAATACGGCGGTGATTGTTGTTGGGCTACAGTGTTTGATTGATTTTGATGTGGTTCATTCGAACCAAACATCGATTCAAATAACTTATATGCACCATATCCAACGGCTGCTCCAATTGCCACCGTTGCTGCTGTTGTCGCCACAGACGGATTACTATTATTATTCCCTTGATTACGTCGGCTCATATCGCTGAATTCGAACTATCGACAAAAATATGTTTTGTTATTTTGATGCGTATGGTGTAAACAAAGAGTGTGTGATCAGAATAGAACACAGACGTCAACACTTTTACTGTGTGTATTTAAGAAATGTCAAACCACGGGATAATTATCAGTAATGTGAACCATCGGAATTTTCAAGTGTGTATTGTATCCAAGTAGCCATATGGATTTGAAAATCAAAGGGAAAAGACTGCTGTTAGACATCTTTAATGCAGTCATTGATTTTATCATTTTTATAAGATAAAAACTCACAATTAGCCAGGGATAAATGTGTTTCTTCCCTGATTCAAAGCCTTCATTCAGAATATGTTGTACCGTGCTACGGAATTTGGTGCATTCAATCTAGAGAAATTGCAACTGAAAAGAAAAACTGACCAGGGAAAAATGATACATGCAACGATTAACACTTTTCCGAGGATATATTGAGGCAGCACTCAAAATGTACGATCTTCAGATCAGATCCGATTAAGTGAACTTCATTCGATCACATCAACATAACATGAGATCAAGTCATATTTTCATACAAATGACCGCCACTCCAAATAAGGATTCGATCCGTTCAACGACCTCAAATTGATCTGACTTTTGATGTAGAATTGATCTGATTAGACCAAGTCTTATCTGCAGATTGATAATTTTCTTAATCTAGATCGCATTAAATGCAATTAGTTTTGCAAGAATAAGAAAATATTGCAATGAAAAAAATTGATATTCTGTAACCAAAAATGCTGTAATAACCTATATCGATGAATTTATCCGCTTAAATTCTTTCCAAACTTACTCAAATTTGATAAAAACACGGCTGTTTCAATAAAATAGTTTTAAAAAAATGTGAAATTCTCGATCATTCATTCGATTCACGGATTAATTAATTGCACTAGATTTTTTTTTGACAAAATTGGATTGAAATCAATTTTCCAGATAATCTTTAGTTACCAAATAACTAAATGAACAAATTCAATTTTATTCCAAGAAAAAACTCTCATTTGTAAATATATAAATTGGAAACAAAAAACTGTGTGTATATAATAACGAGAACTTCTCTCGTCGAGAAGTAGTAGATTTCCCTAAAATAATTTCCTTCAGTGATGTGTATATGTGGAAGGTTTATGATTTCTTCTAACATTTTTTTTTTCATAAATTCCTGGTCATATTATATTTAATCACTGATTCAATGTAACATGTAGCTATTGCACCACAATTTCATTAGAAAAGTGCCAGACTGTGACTTGCAGCCAAAAAATTAAACTTCAAAATTCTGATAATCAAAATCTTCATCAATCAAGTTAACAAAATAGTTTTCGATGATGTATTCCGACTTTTTGGTCGGATCAATTTTCTTCGCAAAATATTTGAACAGTTCGATGGCAACGTGTGCATCAGTAGCCGCGTAGTCGATTTGTGCGTTGGTTAAAGTTGATGCTTCCCAATTTGAGCATCGAATAGATGGGTCTTTATCAAGCGAAACGCCCAAAAATTCATCAGCCATGTGAGCCAAACTGGATTTTCGCATAACAGATGATTTTGCTTCCTGGGCTACGAAGCGCAGATCAAGCGTGCTTGCTACACGGACACCGTCGTAATCATTTTTCAGCAATGCAGCATCACCGTCTGGAGCAACTCCGACCTTTATAATGCTAGCATCTTCTAGAATTGCCTGCAGAAAGAGAAGGAATCATTTAATTTGTTTGTAGGAATTGAATTTCAAATTGTTTGTTCAAAATAATTCCGAATTTAAATTGAATCATTCAAAATTTGTGGCTTCCAATTCAAAATTCATAAATTTTGTCAAGTAGAATATAAAATTCAATCAAAAGTTGTTTTCTACCCACCTCTAGTTCCTTTGGAATGTATTGCAATTCCGATAAACGAATGAGAACACACAGACCACGAGAACTTGCCAATTGAAGTAGGGCAACTGATTTACGGCCGCTTTCCTGCTCTAAATTCCATTCACAATCGAAGCCAAGCACATTATATTCGTCGCAATGCCTGAATAAATTCCAATTTTTAAATTTAAACCAAATTATTATTTATGTAATTCCAAAAAAAAACGAGGAAAAAATTCAAAAATTATCAAGTTATTTCCAACATACGTCTTCAGTTCTTTCATTGAATATTGACACTGTTCGACTGTGTTAACCACATGAATAACTTGGTTTCGCAGAAATCGATGAGGAGTAATTGGTTGAGGACGTCTGATCATGGGCAGTCGCAACTGTTCTCTGTATGGATTTGGTTGGTTTTGTTGATGCGGATGATTTTGATGTGGTTGATTCTCCTGTGATTCATTTGAACCTAACAACCATTCGACTCCTCTATAAAGTGCATATCCAGCTGCAACACCAGCGGCTATCGTTGCTACTGCTGCTGTTGCAGTTAGATTTGTGTCTCTCCTGTTTCCACCGCCGCTCATATCTTTGAATTCAAAATATCTAAAAAAAAATACTTTTCAAAAATATGGAAAACAATGGAGCTGAACCACAATAAAAACACAAGTGTTTAATAGTTAATTGTGACATATGAGAAACGTCAAAATATTGCGATTGGTCAGTAATGTGAACCAAGTAAGGTTCATATCGATTTGAAAATAACATTTAAAAACACCGTTTCTGAGTACATTCAAAAACCTGATTGGCTTGATGTTTTTGTGTATCTTTTTCTATGTTCAAGACTTAAACTTTAAGTATTTTTTTTTTATTATTTTACAATTTATTCATTATTACAAATGAAGTTTTGAAAAATTTCTCTCATCAGTTCCACGACAACCCAAGGCATGTAAATATACTCTGATTTAACGCCAACAGAATCGTTAGAAAACATACTTGCCTTTTCTCAAAATATAAATCGAAGAAAAAACCTACACCTTTTTCAATCTCACCTATATTGATTTGTTGATTGGGACTTTGGCCAGGTTCATGCTTTTAGCAAAAAATTTGTATAATTCATATACAATTTGGTAATATGTGCCTCATTCGCAGCAAAATTGATTTGCACATTTAGTCAATGTTGGTGCAAACCATTCCGAAGCCTCTTGAAACGGCGTAAATTCATCAGCCAACATTTCATTCACTCCTAACAATATATCAGCCATTGATGCCATATCCATCATACTACATTTCTGTCAATCTTCCAATTCATAATATAAATGAAGTAGATTAAAGGTGCTCATTGAACGGTGCAATTCTCATGCCGGTAATTCTCATTTTTAAGACAGAATCGTAGAGAAATACCGACTTTTAGGATTCAATCAATGACTGAATCAGTCATCGTCCAATAATTCTTTGAAGATACAAAGAAATGACGTTGGAGCAAGTTATCATGCAGGATGGACCAAAAAATTGTTTTTTTTTCTTCAATCCAATTGTTCTGAAAGAAAATTCATTGAATAAAAGACATTTGATTTGAAACCAAAATAATGTTTGTTCTTCTTTATTATTTAACGGCCAATAGTTGTCATTTGATTCAATATATATTTGTTTGTTTTGTGTTTTTTTTTGCATAAACTGTAATGAATGTCAATAAATTGGTTTTTTGTCTTGTACATATTGTAATATAATTTGTGAATATATTTTGTTGTCGTCAAACAAAGACTGATTCTTGATATAATCTCAGAATGTATGTGTGTCTGTTTTTTTTTTCTTTCTCATTGTACCGTATGGCCATTTTTGGTGTCAGCCAAAAAACGAATGTTATGTGAGGAGACTGACGCTAAAAAAACGTCAAATTTCACGGAAAAAAAGGTCCACACATTTGGATTGCCCGAATTCGTCGAAACTTTTCGAGCTACCTACATATTGGTTCTGTTTGTTTGTCTTCAAATTTACAATATCGTCCCGCGAGACGAAATTAAATGCCTTAGCCAACGAAAGTAGCTTTAAATTTTTTTTAATTTTCTTTCAATATTTATTTCTTTATGATTCTTCACTTTTCTTCTTTCAGCTATCAACATAATAACGAACAAAATTCTGAATTATATTCATATTTACAGAGAGTTCACATCACTCGAAAAAGAGACGGAAAATGAAACAACAATCAAGTTTTTGCATGCATTTCCTTTTACATACGCCACCTGTACTCTATCAATATGCTTAAATACTTACAAATCGACTTTTAACTGGTTGTTAACACTACCCAAAACGAAAAAAAATTAAAAATTAAAAAAAAAAAAACGCCATAGAAAAATTAGTTCACTCAATTTATAAGCGATGACATTCAATTTTGTCGCGCACGATAAAAGAACCCGTGGAATTCCGGTGATGATCGAATTTTCGACCTGAAAAACTCCAGCCTCGAAAGGTCTTTCGTTGACCTTTTTGTTCGTGAAAAATCCGAACTTTCATTAATTCCGAAAAATCAAGTTAATTTTATCGCTTTGAATTGACTTGGCTCGAGGCTCAGACAGAGGTCATTTGCCAGATGAAACCGACTCGGGTGAAAATGTGTCTGTTTCAAACAGTCCGGTTTTAAAAAGAAACGATGTTCGTTTTTTAAATGACGAAACAAAATTTAGGTCATCAACAAAATGGTTTGATTGTCTGGAAAAAAGTGTCTTAAGACGAGTCTTAGAACAGGTCACGTCTTCAGTGTACATAAAAAAAACGTAATCCAACCGTCAAATTCGATCATTTCATATGGAAAATCTGCATCGGGTTCTGTTCGTTAATTGATGGAAAGGTATTGGCTCAATGGTTTTACCTATTGTTTTTGATTCAAAGTGAGTCACTGTTGACTAAATTGTTTTTGGTGCTATTGATTGCAAAAAGAAGTTGTAAATCTCGCCAAAGCATTGAATATCATTCGATTAAACATATTGTTGGATTTTAATATCACCCGGTAAAATGTATATGAAGCGAAAAAACGAAAAAGAAAATGGTGAAACAAAATGATAATAATATCGGATTATGCGCAAAATAGTATACAATTTGTATGTTGTGTGTGTTTTAATTCTTCCTGGGTTTCAGTTGGACTTAGAACATATTCCCTTGTTTTGCTTATATTCACTTTTGCGACAGTAAATTTATGATACAATTAAAATTCAAAATGGAAGCATTTAAAATTATGCAAACATAATTTTCTCATTTTCTCCTTCTCTTCTGTCATTTTTATTGCTATTTGAACTGAAATCCATTTGTTTTCTCTCTTTTTATCGCACCAACAAATTCGTTTTGTGCTTCCGCTGCTTCCGTTCACTTCGTCCATTTCCCTTTAGTGTTTTTTTTTCTTTGCACACGTCAATATCATTTGGCCCATAAATCCTACCGCATTTTTTTCAATGTCAAAATTAAAAAAATCCAACCAAGAACAAATCAACGTAAAAAAAAAATCTTGCGTCGATAAATTCTTGACTAGGGAAAAATCAAATGTCCAAGTGTTCAAGTACATGTATTCGTATTGATTCACAATTTTCGCACAAAATTGACTTTTTACTCAAACCAACCGATCATCAATTCTCTCAAATTATCAAAAATTTCAATTACTATCAAAGAATTTAGGTAATTAATTCAAAAGACGTTTTTCAAGCAGTTTATAATTGTATGCATCGAATTTAAAATATTTTTCTTTTCTCCTTGCTTTAACAATTCAAATGACTTTTTTCCGTAATTTTCAATTTATTTAATCAAAAAAAAAAAATCCTTTTAATTACATGGATTACATTTAGTCGATCAACATAAAATTAAATTATTTGATGCACATTTTACGGTAGATTTTTCACAAATAAACAGATTCGACCTTTAAGATTTTTTTTAACGAGAAAAAAAATATTTTTCTCCAGAAATGTTGTTTCTTCTTCCTCTTCAAAATACATATTCAAAATACAGATTTTTGGTACAATGGATTTTTTTCGGAAAAATTATCCAAAATTAAGTTATCTAAAACAAAATTCATTTTTTCTGACAAAATTTGTATGGAAGAAAATAAATTCGGTTTTGGATATCTTAATTTTGGATTATTTTTATGAAGAAAAAAAATCCATTGCACCAAAAATCTCAACCATTCTGTGTAAGCTTTCTTTTGATAAAAGGCTCTCTTAGACAGCCAAAAGAAATTGAAAAAAAAAATCGAATCGATGGAAAAATCAGGAAATTGGTTGCACGATGTACATGTGCAGCACGAAAATCAACAAGAAAATGAAACTACTTAAGAAAAAAACTCAAGAAATTGAACAACAAAAATTAAATATGCTGATTTTTGCATTAAAATATTCCGATAATAGCCAAGTGATTGAATGAAGAAAATTGAAATGGGCAAAAAATTCGAATAGAAAAATTAACCGCCAAAAATTTGAATGAACAGAATTGAATCGGAGAAAAATTCGAATGAAAAAGATTGAATCAAGAAAAAGTGGATTCAATGAAGAAAAAAATTGACGCAATGAAGGGAAGAAGAAGAAGGAATGATGCAAATAACGGGGAAAAATCAAGAATACGAAGCAAATGAAAAGGCAGATGAAGAAAAAATCGAGATCAAAATCCCATTTAACGAAGAAAATAAAAAAAATTGCCAAACAAGAGGAAACAAAAATCCCGAACTGAACGTTATTTTCCATTCCACATTGTACAATGTGTTGCATTTACAAAGGGTTTGTGAACAAAAGGTTGCAGTGAATAACAAATACTAATGAATAAACTAGATGAATAGAAAACCCCAAATTATTTAACAGAGAGTATGTGTAACATATATAATAATATATTTAAAAAAAAGAGTTAACAAAAAAGCAAAAAAATCATTTGTGAAAAACGATAAATGGGATAAATGTTAAGGTATTCTTTTTATCCATGCCATTGTAACATTACTAAGGATTACGATTAAATTTAAGTTCCTGAAAAGGTTTTAATAGTTTTTGTTGTTGTTTCTTCTTTTAGAATTCAATGTGTCAAAACATTTCACACTTCGATTCACGTGTCACTAGACTGCAGCAGTTTGGCTTTATCACTTGTTTTTTTTTCTGTTCTTCAAACAGAATTTTCTAAATGTTTTTTTTTCTCCTCTTCATTAGATAGAATGTTCATAAAATGATTGCTCCTTTACTTCAAATGGATCTCGTGCATGCGAGATGATGTGTGGGAGTGTTTGTGTTTGCATATGTTTGTGTCTGTGTGCTTATACTTGACTGATTTGCATGTTGTTGTTGGTGGTGGTTGCGGTGGCCGGTTTGTTGCTGCTGTTGTGTTCGGAGATGATGGATGACAAATCGGAATTGGTATCGGTGAGATTGGCTTCTACCGTTGTATAGTCTCCGTTTGCGCTGGTCGGTGACCGTTCTGGTTTACCCTCTTCATTGATGACCGGATTTCCATTGGCAAACGATGACATTTGCACCAAATCTATCGTCGGCCCATTCAATGTCACATCCACACTGCTGCTCTTTCGTTTCATTTGCATCAATGGACTCGCTTTTTCCAGGTACGTTGAATCCGAGGCATCAATGCTGACCACTTGCAAGGCCGCACTCGAACCTCGTTTATCTTTTTTCGTTAATTGCTTTGTGGCAGCGATTATTACCGCATCTTTGATACCATCCGAAAAGATATTGCCATTTTTCGATTGCGCCTTTGCACCAATCGTTTGCGTTGCGCTACCCGCACTACCAACCACTGATCCGGCCATTCCACTGCCACCATCTTGCTGTAATTGACGGAATATAAAGGACACATTAATTTAATGCACTTGGTAGAGAGTGTTTTTTCGCTGTTCAGCAGACGTAAGCTGAGCTGAGTCAGGCGCCTGAAGCATTTTTTTTACGACGCTTACGGTTAAAAATGTTCATTTGCTAGCTAAGATCCATCTTATTATAATTGATAATTAACGTGGATCAATGAAAATTTTGCACCGTAAATGCGTTAAAATAACACTTCAGGCACCTGAGTCATCAAATTCCCTCAGCTCTGGCCTGTTCAGCAGCAAAAAACCAGTCGCACACTAACACTTTTGTCTTTTTCCTTGTCTTTGTCCTTCTTTTTAAATCCGGGGAATGGGACTTTATGCGTTTTCAGAATTTCTTTGCTCGATCGCACCAAATTATTTCGCATGCCCAACGGTTCGGTTGTGCTACTGCCACCAGTTTCCGATTCCTCTGTTATGCTGATCAGTTGACTTACATTACTAGTAGCACCCTCGTCACCCGCCTGAATTGGAATATCGTCTGTCATTTGATAGAAAGTGGAAGAAAAAGAAAAATCCCAAATTATTAGCATAATCATTTAAATGGAATCTGTGGCCATTGACAGCCACAGTTCGGTTGTTTTTCTTGGTTGCAAATAGTGAATAAAAAAGGCAAGTTTTTTTCGTTTCATCGGAAAAAAAAAACCAAAAAAAATAAAACATTTTCAACAACAGCATTGAAAGGTGATTTTTAGAAGCGAAAAAACGTTAGAAGATAAAACACAAACAAAAAACAATGTGATCCGCCATTTATAACATTGAACGAAAAAAAAAATAAATCATGTGGATTCGAGAAAGAGTCTCACAAAAGAAAAAAATATAGGTAAGAATTAGGTAAAGCGCATGTTGATCAGTAAAATACTTCCTTGATTCAATGTCATTGAACAAAATAATACATGGTAAAAAGTGTTTAATAGAATCTGCTTGAATTCAGATTCAAGCTGCAAAGCGAGCACCATGGCTCTGAAAAGCGAAAGGGCGAGCAAGTCAAACCAAAAACAAAATTAAACTCAAATCTTTCATATGAAATTCAGGCTGTTTATCTTTATAAGAAAAGACGATATCTTTATAAGAATCTATATCGATTCCTCTCTCTCTTCTTTCCTCGAGGCAATTTTTCGATCTTGTTTTCCTCAACTCCAGCAATCGCTCAAGGAGGACGTCAAGGAATCATTGTGATATCGCCTGCATATCACGTTTCAATGAATGCAAAATAAAAATCAACGCGAGCAGTGCCGCAATTCCGCGACTCAATTTCTAACAAAATTTTCGTAATCGACTCGCAGAATCGCGGTACATGATAACTGAATGGGTTTCAGGAAAGAAAAAAATATATTGTAAAGCACTTACAAAACTGCATCGAAATTGTAGTGCTTTCATGCAAAACGTAAAAAAATCAAAAATGAAAGCAAAATAGGCAACTTCAAGTTGAAGTCTTCGAAAACGTCATTGACCATGGCTGATCTTCTCCATTTTCTTTCTCTCTTCATCCAGATTCCTTTACTGTAACCGCATCAGCTGTGCGATTACGGACCAGTTTTGCTCAATGTGAAACGTAGTGTAAAACCTTAAGCTATTTTCATAAGCGATGAATCGTTTTTAAAAAAGAAATGCGTTGTGTATGTGCCTATATGGTTTAGCGGAAACAACTTGGAGAAAAAGCGGTATATTTTTGATTTTGATTCGCGCAAGAATTAGAAAACGGCGTGTGTTTTTGAACGCGTAAGATGTACAAAAGCGTAAAGAGCCAAAAAAGATGTATTTGTTTGTGGTTGAAAAGTAAAAACAAAAACTCGTGTGTCATTGTGTGTATTGATTGGAAGAACAGAAGAGAAAAGAAGAGAAATTGGGAGAAATGAAGCAGAAAATGTACACAAAAATTGAACAGAAATTATTTGGAAAACTGTCAACGACAACAACAATAATAACAACATCAAGAAACGGAAATTTTAAACCAAAAATCGAGTCTTGATTCGAAACACGTGTAAATCAAAATGAATAAATTGAAAGAGACTAGTTGAGAAACAGATTTACAAACTGAACACGAAAAATAAGGCACACGTAAAAACAGACTGGAAAGAAACAACGGAAAAATCCACACACAAAAAATTGAGTGAGTTTGACAGAAAAAACCAAAAAAAAAAAAAAAAATTGAATCAAAAACGGAAAAATGGTGTGAGTTTGTGTGTTTTAGTGTGTGTTTGCCCATACCTGTACTTGTGTCAATTCACACACATTCGAATGAATGTGCGAAAAATTTCGTGGAATTTCGGTTTTGATTTTTTTGATTTTTTTGGGAGGGTTGGATGGTGGGAATATCGCTAAATTTGAAATAGAACCATGGGTTGTCGGTTTTGATTTGTTCCAATCTAAAATGGCTATCGCTCATACTATTTGGCTGGATTGTGATTGGCGGAGGAGGCTCTTGTTTTAAGGTTTCACGTTATGTGTGCATGCTCTATCGATGTGGCCAAAAAAATGCGTTGAGATTCCTAAAATCTGACCAAAGATGGTCGTCGATTGCTACGATTGCAAAATGCCATGGAGGATTGATTGGGAAAAAGACTTTTTTCAAAAAGCTGTTCGCGAAGCCAAACGTCACTTGAATTTAGAATAAAAATTTCATTGAGAAACGAAGGAGAGCGTCTTGCTACTATCACATATATTTTATTTTGGGGTTAAAGCTTAAAGAAAGCGGGCGTTTTTTTTGTTAGATCTATTGAAGTTGTGTCGAAGACATTGGTACGATGTGAACACTGGCTGGTCGCCCGTTAATGATGAGCGCTTGAAATTCATCGTTTCCGTCGTCGTCGAGATTTTCAAGTGTTTGACACAAACGTGCGCCGGCACTTGATCGTATATCGATATTGCGTACGGCATTACCACTGCTGCTGTTGCCATTTTGATTGGATGCTTGATTCGCCACCGTTTTGACGTTGGCATTACGCGATTGGCCCGATTGCGGTCGACGTCGTAGCGGTGATTGATTTAATAAATTGCTGACAACAGTTGCGGCCGTCGTTGAATCATTGGATTTTTTATGCTTTGGCGAACTGGTCGGGCTTGAATGACGCGATGTTTTTGCTGATGACGACAATTCAATTGGTTCCTCTTCGATGCTTGACGTTTTACCCGGACTATATTTCCAACCCCAATTTTTCCAACGCTTTTTCGAATCGAATTGCTTGCGCATTTCTTTTGGACTGTAATTTGCATCGTTTGCCATGTCTGCATTGATATTGGCCGTATCGGTTGCATCTGCAGCGATGCCCGTGCCACCACCGACGCCACCGCCGCCTCCACCTCCACCTCCACCTCCACCTCCACCGGTTCGATGAATTTGCTGCTCGAGCGCGGCCACGAAATCCATCTCGAGGTCATCTGATTCAAGGATTTTTTTTTTGATGGTTTCGCATTTTGGTCATTTGTGTGTGTGTGTGTGGGTTGTGTGTGTATGTGTTGGGGGAGGTTTATGTTTGTGTCAATGTTTGTATGTGTGTATGTTTTTTTTTGGTTGGTAAAAAATTTGTCGTTTCCGCGTGATCCCAATCGATCGAATAGGTTTTTGTTTGTTTTGGCGGGTCGTTTGTTTTATTGGAAAGGTGTCATGGGTTTTTATCGGTAAAAAAAAAATACAAATCGAACGAAAAAAAAAAACAATATTTTACTCAAATCAATATATTTTCGGTCTTTTTTAAAATTTTAAACTGTTTTTTTTTTGTTAATTAAGAAAGGTCTCTTAGAAAAAAGATTCATTATTTTGGCACATGAGATAATAATAGTTCGGTTATTTTGGTCTTTTAAATAAATTCGGGGAATTTCAATTTTTGTTTTCAAATTCATGAATGATTTAAAAGTGGTATCATTCCATTGAAGCGACTCTGTATTTTCCGGTTTGTGTTGAGCGTACGACAAAGAGAGAATAGATTAGAAACCGCAAAAGAATTGCTTCTTATTGCTGCGTGTGTGAATTTGTACGGAACTAGTAAAATTGTATGAAACACACGTTTGGCGGTGATGATGGAGCTGCAAAAACATTTATAATTGTTGAATGAAGAGTAGAAAAAGTTGTTTGCGGCGAGTCTATTGTTTAGAACACGATCTGCATATATATATATATATATATATGTGTGTGTGTGTGTGTGTATCTATTTTCAGTCGAAGTGCTTCGGTCGGAGTGTGATGACGATATAGTGAGTTTACTACATGATGAAGTCTACATCTCATTTTCGATTCGGGTGTGTGAGTGTGAGCGGACGCACACTTGAATGGAATGCTGTTTTCAAATAAACTAACCAATTCGGTGCGGAGTCATATTGCGGTTCCCAATTGAATACAGATTCAGTGCAGCGTTCGATTTATTTCGTCACAACTACTTCCATGTGAGCATGCAATATCGTGAGAGCTTTTAATTGGTAGTAATTAATTGGCCATCGATTAGAATCATCGTTATAAATCATTGCGCAATCGGAAATTATTACAATTAAAACCAATTACATCAACAAATATTGTCTAAACATCAATATGCACAATAATTAGCAGCAAGAATAATGAAGAGTTTCGATGAAAAAAAAATAATTTACACCGCTCAAGTTTACTCACATATTATTATGTACACAATTTCACATTTAATATTCATTACAAATGTACAAAGCAGACGGATTTTCATCCACAGAAAAAAAAGAAAATTGAAGATTGGGAAATTTTTAAACGGATTTTTTTTTCAATTTTTTACAATTTTCAACTGAAGATTCGAAATTGAAGGATTTAAAATTTGAACGTTTGAAACTGGAGCTTATTTTTCAATTTTTGAACCGAAGAATTTTAAAATTGAAATATGCGAAGGTGAAGAATGGGAATCGGAAATATTAAGAGTCGAAAATTTAAAAATTGAAGGAAACAAAGCATCCGAACGTATTGAGGCAATACCAAAATTCGAAAATTAATGGATAAAATTGAAAATCTCAATGTTTAAATCAAGTAAAAACGACGTTTCAACTTCGTTGTTTAAAATGCTCATGAAAATTGACAAGAATTGTGTTTTTGTATAAATCGACTCGAGTTCATGATTGAGTTTGCAACACAATCGATAGCTATATACTTATATGTGCTCAATCGACTAATGAATGTTCATTGATATTACGTACCAATGGCAACAACAACAACTACGACCGACAGATAGAGAAGAAAAACGAACGTACGAGAACAGCTCGTTGAACGAAACAAAAAGAAATGACATAATTAGATTGACAGAGATAGAGAGACATGCATTGGATGAAAATGGAAATTTGATCGACAAGAAAATGCGATGCGATTATTTGTAATCGATTTGATACATTGAATCGTCATACACACACAAATTGTGCCTTAGAAAAATCGCTCTACAAACGAGATAATCATAATGGGAAATTATTGTGTGGTGAGACATTTCTATTCTCCTATTGTCAATTTGGAACATTCATATACGTATGAAAATGGATTTTAATGGGTCAACATATTCTACCAATTTCATAATTTCATCGATTGTATTCGGATAAATTTTTGATTATTTGAACAAAAAGGCCATGTAACACGGCTATACCGATGAAGACAATCCTTTGAAATTATGTGATTTGATGAACATGTTCAGGTATCATAGACTCTATGTTAGCCTCGTCTATGAATCATAGACTCTATGTTAGCCCTGGTATATCATATGAATATGGAATATATTCAATTTGCCGGCGATGTTGTTGATGAATTGAACGTGAATCTCTAGTATCGGATTTAATATTTTGACATCAAGTGCAGTCAACTTTACATATGGAGATCATACATTGTAAAGAATCTACGAATGATTCGATTACAACAAATCGATGACCGATGAAAGAAAATGAGACAATCTACACATCATATTTAAAAAAGTAATTGAATTGTATTCAAAAATGACTTGGAATTGAACAAAAAAAAAAAAGAATTTTCGAGGTTGATACTAGATGATGAATCCCTCGTTGATTGAATGAAGATTGTGTTTTATGTCTCCAAAACTCTGTACACATATGTTACAAAATGAACATGTTTCATTTGTGTTTTGTCGTTACTAATAACTTATGACTCATTGAAGAACAAAAAAAAATCAGAAATGAGAAATTGTTTGGTTGTGATAAAAACAATGATCTCACAAAATGACTGATTTTTAGCTTTGAGGAAGTTAAATTCGAAATAAACGAATAGATTAACAGTTTCAAATTGAAATGCAATCGCCTACCTGGCAATTTCTTTGTTCTAAATGATGCATTCGTGATCATTGATTTGGACACGGTGACCGTATGTGTTGATGGTGTTAATGCAACACTGATACCCATTGGACCGTCGCTTGGTTGACCTGTTTCGAAACATAGATGAAAGAACATGTATGAGAAAAACGCAGTGAGAGTCACAAAAAGTGATCGAAAAAGGTACAAAAATTCGAAAAATATTTTCAAGAACAAAAAAAATCTCAATCAAAATTTCAAAAAGAAAAAAACAAATTAGTATCTCTTGGCCAACGATTGCGGGCCGACCTGGATAAACTCACCCGATGCATTGGCGTGTAGTGAATTTTTAATGGCATTCGTAACTAATATCACTTCTGGATAGAGCTCGTAGCAGGCGCGATTATGAATGTCATCGACCGTTTGAATGGCAATCGATGCGAATTCGTTGAACATTGCAAAGTAGGTGGCATGCAGCAGTTCGAGTAGGAATTGTGCCGAAATTGGTATGCGTGTCATTGGTTTTGTGACCGTTGCAATCGCACTATTCGGATCGTTGCCATACGATGCGCGATGTGCATGGCCATACTTGGCAAACCCTTGATTCACCAGCTGTGTGGCCATCCGGCATAAATGGTATAACGATGATTTTGGTATGGAACTCAATTGTTGATTATAAACAAACATAACGGCTGTCATAACTTTCAGGCGATTTTGTGCATTAACCGATTCCACCTGCGGCAATGGGCCCCAATTCACATCTTTATTACTATTTTCTTCCCAACGCCGCAAATCATAGGCATTCAAACATTTTTCCTCATGATAAATGGACGCTTGGGCCAGTACGGGCATACGAAATGACACCACCTTTGGCTGGCCATCATCCGTGCTCACTTCAATATTGTAAATGCCCAGCAACAGTGTTTCAATGCTACGACAACTCTTTTTATCACCCTGCGCCACCGCATTCAAATACGTATAAATCAATGTCGGCACAAATTGTAACGTAAAACTTTTCAATTTCGCTTCATTTGAACGATAATAGCTAAATAGTTGATTGCATATTGAATGTAAGACCTGTACGAAGGAAAAATGGAACAAAAAACGAAAAAAGAATTAATTTGAAAACGAATTTTTGAATGGATGTTGAACTTGAAAATTATCGTCCGTGGAGATTTTGGATCAAGATTCTTGACCTACATCGTTTGTTACTTACGTCTGGATATTTGAGACGTTCGTTGATTATTGTAAACACTGCACTCGATACCTCATGGTTATTCTCTTGTTCGGCAATAAATGATTGGATTTCCGTCGGTTCCAGCGCCTCATATTCGGCCAACCAATCGCTAACTATTGATTCGGCCATTCTGTCTCACTTCTCATTCACACGTTCTCACTCGAACCACCGAAAAAAAAACAACGAAACAAAACAAACTCCACCAATTCTTCTATTTACATCCTGGAATGAAAAACACACACAAATGGGTTAGTTGCATTTGTTTTGTAAATTCAGAATCTCATTGAAGTTGAATGGAATCGTGATTAAATGCACTATACTAGCGATGGTCGGAATAGAATTAATTTGATTGCTTGCAAATTGATTAACGATTTAATTGGGTTTTTGAGCGTGCGTGCGAGCACGCGACCGCGGTAGCAATTGAATTCGGTTGATTTTCTGGGCATTTCAGTTGTTTTTGCAACTGTGTCAAAACATTTATGTTCAAATGAATGAAAATAAATATCAAAAGCATGAAATGGAATAAATCAATTGGAAATTGGTTGAAAATTGTGGCATTTGCATCATTCGCTCAATTGGAATTGGCAAAAAGACTATATGGCTAGCACCATAAGCTATGATCTTGAAAAAAGTGCACTTTTGTACAATTTATCGCTCTAAAAAGTGATAAAGTTCGTTAAAGAACCACCCTTTGATATGCAAAATGCGATTTTAAAACCGTCCTTCTATTCGGCTCAGATGACCTTCGTTATTTAAATGGAAAATTGGTGCAAGCAAAGAAAAAAGTCATACAGTCAGAACGAAAGACGATGACGAACGAGCGACAGAGCGACCGAGCGGAAAAAAAAATTTACACCCTCGATATATGTAATTATGATTAATCGCTTTAGCATTGACGGCGAGAAATTTGAGATCGGTCCATATTGGCTGGTTTTTCTTGATTTCGGTACTTTTTTCTCTCGCCTAAGCAGACATACACGCACACTTGTCTATTGCAATTTCATTCCCAGTCACGTTTTAGTTTTCATCACACCAACCATCACCATTCGGTGTGTGTGTGTGTGTGTCTCTCTCATTCACTTCTTGATGTCATGACCAATATTGACACAAACGAAGCATAAATCGGATACATGTCAAACACCATCACGTTGTGAAATGTCGACGCGATTGTGATTTTTTTTTTTGGCATTTTGGAACACAATTTGTCTGTTTGCAAAAACTTGAACGAGCCGAAAGAAAAAAAAATCGATTAAAAAGAACTGTCGCGGTTGAAATCAAATTTCGTGTGTGTTGTAAGACGGGGCAATTCCAAAAATACAAATTCAGCACCGTCGTTATTTAATCACTCAATTTTATCACTCGTACTCTGTGCCTTCACTTTGAACATGATAAAAATCACACACATGCACCGCTTCTCGAAGCTACTCATTGTGGCCCCATCAAGTTTTTCAACGTTGTTGGTTGTTTTTTTTTTTTTTTTTTTTTTTTGAAACGTGAAAACTTAATCAGTTCCATTCGATGATGATGATTTATGTGTTGACACATAAAATAAAAACTAAATCGGACGGAGGTCCGGAGCGCACTTTTGACACACAACGTTTTCATGTACACACATAGAGAGGGAGATGTATATACCGAGTCTAAAAATAGATGTTGTTTCATGCAAAATTTTGTGGTCCTTTGAAATTGAACCTTCCTTTCCCTTCGCTTTAAAACCATCACAATCGACGGCCTGGAAATGGTACCATACGAAAAGTATAATTAAAACATGGGAAAACAACCAACCCAAACACAAAACTGTAAACAAATCTCATTCTAGTGGTACATTTCATGTGATTGGGTATGACTTTTTTTTCTTTTAAAGTTTGGCGAACACTTTCTATTAGTTGTTTATAAAAAAAAATAACAAATACTGAACGAGCAGCAATAACAAGCGAGTGGTTGCTTCGATGTGACTTTTCCTCTTCGCACAAACAAAACTTTTTCTTTGCTGAGGTTCGACTATCTCGCAAAAATTACCTCAAATGCATGATTATTGATAATGCATATTCACTTACTATGATGACTGATACTACACGGAGAGTGAGACAGAGACTGAAAGACCCTGTCAAATGTCACATACACAGCAGTAGCAGTAGCGCGCAGCCAGATGAAATTTTTGCTGGCAAATACAAATAAATATTTTGATGTAGGTATCACCGTTCTTCGCTAACATTCACCACATTCACTTTCATTTTTTTAGTCGTTCAATCGCACAGCGCCATGTCAAAATATGATTGGAACATTTTTTTAGGGCCTCTCTTGTTTGGCTGTTGTGTATGCACGATTTTTGCTGTCCTCAATTTTTTTTTTTTTTTGCTCTCAAACCGATTTTTTTTTTGCTATTTAATTATTCAAGAATTGGAATCTTTCGCTTGAATGAAAGAGAAGGCGAACGAAATTCATTCGAAAATGAGATGCAATTTACGGGGCACACTCTCACACGCATGCACCAATCACAACAACATAGTTAACAACATGTATATTCCAGCGACTATGAACTGTCAACCTGACGAGAAACTCACCACTCCATTCTCAAATGATTAAGAAGAAGAAGAAGCAGACAACGACGAAATAGCAACAACAAAAAAACGGCACGACCAAATGGCAATTTTGACATGGCAATGTTCGACTGATATGTTTGTGTTTGTTTTAGCTTACGAACTAAACACATACACGCACAAACGGCACACAGTCGACACAACGAGAACTGACACGGCGTTCAGCGCTGACTGTGTTGTAAATATTGAAGAGTTGTCTGCCACGTAAAATACACTTCAGAACCGTGCGAGAGAGTGAGAGAGAAAAAAAGAGACAAAAGAAAAAAAAAGAACGAAACGAGAGAAGTTAATCAGTGTGTCGGAGCGGCCTGTACAACAAATTGTCACTCACTGAAAGTGTTGTTTGGAATATTTTCATACATATTTACTTCTCTTTTTTTTTACTATATGGTGTTTGTCAAAGAGTAGATTCAGATTCAGATTCATTTTTTATTGTGAAATCATTCTTTTGATAGTTTATTCTCGCGCTGGGTCGAACGAATCAAAACTTGTTGTCAGTTTTGTTTTCGACAAGAAAAAAGAAACGAAATCAGTTCGGTGTTGTTATTGGATTTACTGTCAATTTGTTGGCATTTCGTTTGTTTTTCTTTCTTCATTTTGGGCTAAATAATTTGACGAAATTATGGGTGCAGGAAGTAGTGTTGAAGTTCCTGGTGGTGGCACTGAAGGATACCATGTGTTACGTGTAAGTAAAATCATTATATAATTTTAATAAAATAAATTGTGGACAAATATGTCAAAATTAAATTTTTGCCAACAAGTCATAGCGAAGCAAAAGAAAACAATCTGTTTCGTGTGAGCCTAATTAAGTATTCTCTTAAGCGGCCCCGTACACGCATTAACCTCAATCGGATGACGTGTATTGTTTGACAGTTACTTGTTGTTAGAATTTTTGTGGCCGTTCTTCTTTTTATTTCGCAATTTTCTTTGAATGATGAAAATGTGTCGTCTCCCTTTTTTTAGGTGCAAAGTGGTTCACCGGCCGAAGCAGTTGGATTGGAAGCATTTTTCGATTTTGTCATTGCAATCGAAAACATTCGATTGGACCAAGACAATGATACACTCAAGGAATTGCTGAAGAAGAATGTAAACAAACCCATACGGGTGACGGTGTACAGCAGTAAAACGCAAAATGTTCGCGAAATTGTGCTTACCCCGAGCGATACATGGGGTGGCCAAGGATTATTAGGCGTTTCAATACGGTTTTGCTCGTTTGAAGGTGCCAACGAAAATGTATGGCACATTTTGGACGTGCATCCATCGTCACCGGCCGAAGAGGCTGGATTGAGATCGTTTACCGATTACATCATTGGTGCCGATTCCATTTTGCATGAGAGCGAAGATCTCTTTACATTGATCGAATCACACGAACAACGACCACTAAAACTTTATGTATATAATACAGATGATGATACTTGTCGTGATGTCACCATTAAACCCAACTCCAAATGGGGCGGTGAAGGTGAGACATTGGTTCATTGTAATCTTGGTTGATTTTTTTTTTGCTCCGTAAATTTGTGCAGAAATCGATTTTTTCATTACTTTTCTTTGAAAAATCGAAAAGTTTTGAAAAATCGTCAATTTTATTTAGAAAAAATCCCCTCGATTTACTTAAAAAAAAAAGAATTTCTTTCCTCTTCCTTCACATTCATCGAACAAATCCCCAACCAAATAAATTGTTCTCCTCGAATCATTGCAGGTAGCTTAGGTTGTGGCATTGGATATGGATATTTGCATCGAATACCGATCCGTTTGCTGCCCGACGAAAAGGGTGCAACAGCGAATAAACCATTTTTGGGTACGGCACCATCACCAATTTCACTCCCATATGTTCCGCCTTTGGCCAATACGTTTGCCTCAACGAATGTAAATACAATACCAATGGTACCGAATACCGGTAAAAGTGATGCAGAAATCGTCTTTGCCGGCGTATCCAATTTGAATTTGAATAGTGCGGCGACCGCACCAACGGCACCGTTGCCTACGAATTTAATGAATGATCCACAATTGCAACAGCCGCTACAACCTCAACTGAATGTGATACCAACATCACATCCACAGCCACTAATTGAAGTGGGCTCGGCTGCCACTGAACAAATCGTTCAACAGCCGTCGTCACCACCACCAACGAATTTAACCTCGTTGCCGCAAACAACAAATTATCAACATCCGCCCGTGTTTGCATCCGTTCCACCCACTAGTATTCCTAGCCTAAACGAATCATTCAATATTCCGTCGATAACTCCAAGCAGTGTACCAGCCTCTATTTATCAAACAAATCCCGTACAAGGTATGACACTTTTCGAATTCATTGACAATTTTTGACATTTTTTTTTTCCAATTTTAACTTTTGAACGATTTTAGCTAGTGCAGTTCCGACATTCAATCAATTTGCTAACGTACCTCCGCCATCATCGATCGCCAATTTACCCGGTTTAGATTCGGTATTTGAGCCCAGATCAGGGGCTCCACCACAGCAATATTCCCAAGAACCACAGGTTAGTCCAAATGATCGAAACAGATTGACGGCAAGAATCAGTTTATCACTATTCGGAGTTTGGAAGAATAGAATAACAACCTATTAATGCAACCAAAATAACAATTCCGTGGACATGTGGACAAAGCAATCAAATTTGTTTCTGAATTCATGGCCAAATGTACAGAAAAAAAAATTTCATTTCCAAAATGCAGATTTTGAGGAATATTTCCCTGGAGAATTTTTTTCAATTCTAGAACTGGTTTTTCAACAAACAAAAAAACACCGCAAAGTAACATAAAAAGGAAATTTCGTTGAACCTACTTCAATATCCATTTCTTAAAATAGATGCAAAAAAGTTCTCATGTTTTTGCTCAATTTAGCCTGGAAATTCGTTTTTTTTTCTTCAGAAAAGTGCTCAATTACGTTTCAATCGATCGAAAAACAGTTTCGAAGAAATATTATTAGAACGAAAGAGAATCAATTTTCTGCGATAGCATTTTTAATTTCACAGTTTAAAATTCAAATTTAATCACATTTTTTTCATTCTCCACGTTCTCTCCTGCCGCTGCAGCAACAACAACAGCAGCAGCAGAAGCAACAGCCTCCGTTTGTGTCACAGCCACCGTATACATCATCGGCAAATGAGAATCTAACGTTCGCACAGAATGCGCCATCATTGCAAACGTATTCAACGTATCCACAGGTACAGCAAGTGACAACACCAATTTCTCTGCCTGGTATGCCGCCGATCACTGTAAGCGCTACGATTCCATCGCAACAATTCTACAGTATGGGTCAAACGATTGCGCCACCAACATCTCAGTAGAAACGAACCGAAGAGAAAGAAACAAACAAACACCCGATGACGGCGAAATTGGCATTTTAATTAATTAATTTTTTTTTTCGTTCGCTTATCTAGTTAGTTCGGCATTGTTAAATACTGTTTAATTTCTTGCAACAACAACAACAACAAGAAAAACTATAGAATTCTAAGATGGAAATGCATGTGCAAGTGGGCCGAATAGCAATGCAATTTATAAAATGGAAGATTCTTCTGAATAAACCTAGAAATATATTGATATTCATCAAAATCAAACGCAAAATCGAAATAAAACTGTGTACAACACAATAACCTACAACACCAGATCAAAACGGGACGATTCGTCTGCTTCCCACATAATTGAATCTTCTCACCGCAATTCTCAATTGCACATTTTACATAAAATATATATATATTTGTTTGAAGAAAGGAGATATTCTATCATATTTTTTTTTTCGTTTCGAAAGAGCAAAGCAACACTTTGAATAAATTTTAATAATAATAATTTATATTTTTTATTTTTTTTTCTCCTTTTTTCGTTTGCTCTATTTTGTCATTCGGTTTTTAAGCGCGGAAATTTTTTGGCCAATTCAATTTCTTCAAATGAGCTGGTCAAAAGAAAGAAAAGTGCGAATACAACAACAAAAATGAAACACATGTACGTAAGAAGAAAAAAAAAAGATGATCGGCATGTGAACACGATTGTTATCTAGGAAAAAAACAAATGAATGCATATTAAACGTGTAAGGCAACCACCCCCCTAAATTTCATATTCGTCGAGAGAAATAAAGAAAATACAATTTTTATTGAACCAAATTTATTGCGAGCTCCTTTTTTTCTTCTTTGAGAAATGATTTTTTTCCCTAAATTTTGATTTTATGAAAACTTGCCTAGAATTTATTTCTTATTTTATTTCTTGAGGGAAAATTATCATTTTCCCCATTGATTGAAAACCTCCTTTTCTTACGTTTGGAAATTACCCTTACCTTTTAAACTTTATTACCTTTTCTTTAAAAAAAAATCGTGATTTTTTCTTGCAAAAATTTTCTCTTCATATTTTTTCTCGTGGCTTTTTCTTTCTGCAAAGAAAAGAGAAGAAGAAAAAGATTTCTTCCTTTAGAAAAATTACGGATTTTATTTCAAAAAAAGCCTTCTTCTTCCTTAAAACCGAGTTTCGTTCCAGAAAATGTCTATATTTGGTCTAAAAAGGGGCCTCTTGAAAGTAGTAAACTGTTGAATCTGTTTTTTTTTGCAAAATGTTGTTTTTATCTAGGAAAATACTTCCTCTTGAAGACTCATCCTTACCTCTTGAAGCATAAATTTTATCTGAAAAATACGTTTAACCCAAACCCAAAACAAAAACTCACTTTTTCGCTAGATTTTTCAGCGCTTTTAGAGGAAAAATCAATAAAATGATGATTATCCATGAAAATGGTGAAACGATAACATGAGCAGCAAGTGAAAATCCATTGAAAGTCAAAAATAAGAGTAAAAATGTTCAAAAACCGAAAAATAAGTGGCAAACAACGTCTACTGACGCAAAATTATTCGACATGGAATTTTTTTTCTCTCAAAACAAAGCTCCACTCAATCGACTCACCATAGTGAATTTTCTACGGGCGACTCCGTTCAAACAGAATCATTTCTTAGCAAATGGAATAATTGTACACCAACAACATTTGTATTCACCAATATTATCAATCGGTTTGTTTGTTTTTATTGATTTTATTTCATTTAAATTAATTAAATATGGTACGTTTGGTTTGTGTGGTTCCTATATATTCCATTTGTTGACTTTTTTCTGTTACAAATGCCCTTACATAACAAAATCACCATCAAACCTAACCTCACTGCGTGTTGTATGTTGCGAGTAAAAAGTGGCCAAGAAGTAGAACGTTCTGGGAGAGGATGGCTATCTTTCTAAATGATGATTTCAGCATCACCGAGCTCTTCATCGGATGGTAGCACTACCTGGCTGGGTGGATCTACATATTCGCCTGAAATTGGTTCTAAGCCAGCCGCTTCACGTTCTCTCAGTACAATGTATGCCTCTCGCTGTGACCATTCAAGGAATTGTCGATCAGGTAAATATGACCACCAGAATATTGTGCCAATAATTGCCACGGAAATGCCCATAAAGTAGACACCATTGGTATATTGTCGATCCTCGTCTTTATCGGTTCGGCTAAAACCATAACTAACCCAGTTCTTTGATTTGCGAACGGCTTCAATGCTAAAATCTGTCACTTCGTCGCTCACTTGCGCGGACAATGGCTTTGCGATGGATGTTTCATTCTTTTTCGGCGATGTTGATACCATACGAATTGGATTTTGCCAGTTTCGCACCAAACGACCACATCGCATCAACGACGAAGCCATTTTTTACAAACTTTTTTGTTTAACTAATCGAACCGATCAAACGAAACAAACACTCGCAATAACAAAAAATTTTTTTCGTGTGTTTTGGCTCAGGCACGTAATACAATGGCGACCAAGTCAAATGGTATATTTTGATAGTCGTCTTTGATTCAACTTTTGGTGTGTTTTGGTTTTTCACAGGCACAAACGTCAACCAATGCCAGTTCTGTCAAATTCGATGTTATCATGTGTTGAATTTCACCACCAATGACAACGTTTTGAATGGGATACGTTCGATTTTTGTTTCTTCAAATTAAAGCGCTTTTTCTTCGAATTTCAAGTCAATATTTTTTTTCCCTCTTTAAAGTTAAAAAGTTTGTCGACTCATTTCTTTCTGAATTTTTTTAATTTTTCATTTTGATGAATAAAAATGAGTCTTCATGAAGAGTCGCCCAATAGTCGTTCTATCTGGTCTTTGTGTTGTCATGTATTTGTATTGTCAAGATGGAAGAAACTTGACTGTGGTTTGAAAAAAAAAACTGCATTTCAATGGCTTTTGCAAATGGTTCGGAGCTTCAATACCAGGGTGCGTTCATGTGAATTTGTTGAATGAAGTTATGTTTTCATCGAAAGCGTAAAATCGGTAATGCAAACAGCAAAATTCGCACTCTCGGGCAGATTCGTAAAATAAAATCAAACCAGAGATGAAGCACCCAAGGGAAACAATTTCAAATTTTCAATTTCGTTCAGTTTATTCATTTAAAATTGATAACAAAATGGGCTATTTTTTTTTGTCCAATGATGCATTTGTAGATGTTGGTCCTTTTTGGCTTGTTCAATATGATTTTAGGCATTTTTCCACGGCATCCGCTATCTGCTTTTCCCCCAAATTCATAACCGAAATGAGAAAGTGGTCCTGTATTCGAATTACGTATCAATATCAGCTGTCACACACATACAGCACCGACATGTGTGAGCCGAAAAAGAAGGAAAAAATATTGAAAACAAGACCAATTCAACAAACAAAACACAAAGTCTAATCAGAATGGTTGAATTGGAGTATAGACGAAACCGCAACAACGAACGAACGAGCGAACCAGCAAGCATCAGCAACAACAACAACAACAACAAGAAACCAACAACATTCATTTCATTATACACACGCAATATAATATTGAACGCGATACGATAGCGATAAAAATAACTACAAAGTCGTCAAACATCTATTCGTTTTGTTCTCTGCTGCTGATCAGTGACAATTGATTAGAAATGAGCTGAGTGATGTGAATCAGTTGTTCGAACATAGAAGCAAAAAAAAAAGAAGAGAATAATATCTATCACTGTTTTGAATTAAAGTAAAAAAAGAATAAGAGAAAAAAAAGTACGTTGTATTTTATTCTATCTTGATTGATTGATCGAAAGCGAGCGACAACAAAGACTACGAGGAGAGAAAAAAATTGAACGGAAAACAGAAAAAATTCAGACGATTCCAGTTGTTGAAGGTCTTGTGCACTTAAATATTGGGATGGGTTAGTAATTAATGTTACTCTCACTTAAATATTGTGATTGTTGTTGTTTTCGTCGTCGTCGTCTTCTCAATTTGCGTGGAGTGTGTGTGAATTTGTTTTTTTTTTCTTTCGTTTCGATAGTTTTTTTCTTCCTCTGTGAACACGTATTTGAATTGCAAAAATGTGTCGTCTTGGAATCAATTGAATGGTTGAGCCGAGAGGCAGAAAGAGAAAGAGGAGAAATTGAGCCGTGATATGAAGACATATAAATGCGAATCGAAGAAAACAAAATTTTCCATCATTCACGAGATTGATTTTTGAGGTGTCATCTCGCCACATTTCGGTGGTTTTTTCCGTCGTTTTAATTGAGTATCTTCTTTTGAAGATGAAAACGAAACTAGGAAAATTGGATGACGTCTAAATGATTAGCCTCTTGATAATCAGCTATCGTGGCGCAGAAAAAGCTGGAATTGAGCCAGGGTGGATAACAGAAGAAAAAAAAACAACGGAATAAAACACTAAATTTATAGAAACGACACAGTTTTTTTCGGCTTCGGCTAACAACAGTTTATGCTTCATTCTAACGATTGTCTCACTTGACCATATTATCATTAACTTTCGAGCAGTTTTTTTTTTCGGTCGTCATTTGTTCGTTCTTTGTTTTGTCTTCGCGAAAAGGTCGGGAGAGAAGAAGAGAGAATGAGAGATGGAGCGAGGGAGAGAGAGAGAGTAAAAAAGAGAGAAATAGAAGGAACGAGATAGAAACATTGAGAGAGTGAGAATAAGATTTAAAAAAAAGAAAGAATGAAAAATTTATATCAACATTTGGCTCATCCACGTTCGCCCACTTTTTCGCACAACAACGCCGCACGTACACCCAACAACTTTCTAACTACAATATTTTAAATTCAAATCATTTGCATTAATCGCCGCGGCGAACGTTTGTTGTTGTTTTTTCTCATTCGTTTGTTCGTTCAGTTCGAGTCCTTTTTCTCTAGCGCTCGTTCCATATTTCTCGTTGTCATTTTTTTCGTCGCTTATATTCATCCTGCATCTTTCGGTCGATTAACAGGCCGCATCACTACATGAAAAAATCAGGTGATTTTTGGCCAAAAGTTGGGCCATTTTCGGCTCATCCAATTCGTGATCATCCTTCTGAAGTTGAGACTAAAATTGCTGCGTCGAAATGAAGAATGAAATGAATGAAGTGAAAAATTAGTCAAATTTGACCATTCTATCAGTATCAAACCATAAAATAAAATGAAAGTATCAATCTAAGCATTGCAATTTATCCATGATCACTATTAAAGTCCAACGTCATTTCCATCAAATTTGGTGTTTAATAAAATGTTCAAAGAAAATTGTTCAATCAAAATGTCCAAACAAAATGTTCAATTGAAGACCAATGACTTGAAGCCTTTTCTGTTCCGTCGAGCCTCTTTCAAGAAATTGGATTTCAATTAAAAATTTCGTTGATGAATTGGATTCGATGTAAAAGAGAGGTGTCCTTTTCGTTTCTTACAATGATTTTCGATCTATTCATAAATTATCCACCCAGACAACCGACCACAAATGACGATGATCCCTGATGTATCAATTCAAAAGCGCCGCACAAAATGCGAAGCGACACGAGTGCGTCTCGATTTAGTAACAGGATTAGTCAGATGTGCGCCAAAGCAGCCGCAACAACAGTAGAACAATAAAAAAAAATACAAACAAACCGACCGAATAAAATGAGTACAAGCGCGAATACAATGCCGTACGCACATATCTAGATGCGTGTCGAGATGTTGCCACTAATTATATAAATATAAATCCGAAAAATTGGATTGGCCATAAACACACACACATACACATCAACTACATAGATTTTTCGAAAAATTGTCTGATAGAAAGGCATCTCGCGACGACGACAACGGCTACGACGACAACGACGACGAAGATGACGAGACAGTAACGGCGAAAGCGGCAAGCGCGATGAAAAAACACACAACAATAACAATTGAAACATAAGGCGGTGTGTTGGAATGACGAGCGCAAAAAGGAAGAGAGCCGAATGATAGGGAGAGCTTTTTATTTCGCTGCGCAAAACAAGGAATTGCGTGGAAACATTTGAAATAAGTATTTTGCGTGTGCAAAAGTTAATACGACGTACATTTCCAATGTCATTTTCTCTCAAAAACACGAAGCGAACAAAAACGCATTGAACGAATTTGCCTTTTTTTCCCTTCAATTCTGCGTTGTGTGTCATTTATGATGTTTTTTTGAGGGCAGACCGAAAAAAGCACCCCAAGCGCCAGCAACAAGACAAAAATACTACATTTGGCTCGCTCGTTTGCTTTCGCTCATTGAAAGTAGAAAAAAAGCCAAACGCGACAGAAATTTACTGAATTTTCCTATTTAATGGACAAAATGTGTACCAAATGTCTCAATTGAAATGGCCTCGATAAAATCCTGTGTGTGCACGCGCGAGAGACGCGTGTGTCGCCTATATCGTTCCCGGTGGAAATACGGTGTGACAACAGTAACACACAACAATTGAATCGGCCAAACAGGAAAACTGATGATGATGATGATGATGATGATGGAACTTTAATGTACTTTTGGCCGGTCGCCCATCAAACGAGTGTTCAGCGTCGTCAAACATCATCATCCGATTTTAATTAGCATTCACCAAAAAAGCACAACAGCTAGACAACTAACAACAACTAGAGAAAACAAAAAGCGAAAAGAGAAAATGAAAATTTCCGCACTCACGCATCGTTCTAACGACGTTCGAAAGACAGGAAAACAACACCAACACCGGGTGGAAAAATATCATAACTGAAATGCGCGTACAAATCTCACATTTTGATTCATTTCTTGATTCTATTTTAGGTGTTTCGGCCCCACAAGGTCTCGATCGACTCGAAATATCAACAACCGCTGCCAAATTATAATCGAGAAATACCCAAAAAAAGAACGGAATGAAATGCTTATAAATTTTGAATGAGTGCAATTAGGCGAGACAGACAGATACAGAAAGAGATATAGAACGGAAAAAAACCAAGTTGATAAATTGTTAGTTGTGATTGAAAGTGAATCAGTGATAGTAACAAAGTTGCGCCAAAACATACCGAAAAAAAAACTCGCCGACCGCATTTCCTACGAAAATCGAAAATAAACAAATCGAGCATATATTTTTGGAAATAGCCGAATCGTGTTTTTGTGTTGGTGTTTAAGTGAGCGTGCGTTAGACTCAAGTGTGGACTCGGCGAACCACAGCGCGTGGTTTGTATATACTTTTTTTTTATCCCTCGGTTGTTGTTGGTGGAAAACGGGAAATTGTATGACGACTGACGACTGACGACGACAGCGTCTACGACGAGGGGATGGTGAAAACTCAAGTGTATGTGTGTTGGAAAATGTGGAAAATGCGTTGATAACACACTGCTGTACTTTTGTATTACATGGGAAGAAAACGAAGCAAGCATTGGCATCCATACAACCCAAGCATTGCCATAACAAGTGGAAAAAATCAAAGGACTCGTCCAAAAACACACACACAAACACGTACCGCATATTCACGCATCAAATAAAAGGCGAAAAAAAACGTGGATTTTCATTGTGACATTTAATGAAATGCTCGAACCTGGTCTATGTATAGACCTTAAAACGGCAAAAAAGAAAAACGCAAGCTAAAATAACAGCCGCAACGAAGAGAGTCAACTCGAAAACTCGTGCGATAATATTCAATGTGCATTATAAACAAAAGACAAGGCTGAACAAAAAAAAAGAAGAGCGAAAAAAAAACCCACAACAAAGCATTTTGCTCTATATATACTTTCGTCCGTATGCACGCGGTGTGAGTGAGACGCAATATTTGTGTGTGACTCTTAGTGCCCTTTTGACAAGAAAAACCTTTGGTTGTTTGTGGAGTTGTTGGGCCAACGCGCGCGCCAACATCGATGATGAACATTCTTCGTTCGGTTTTTCTATAGAATTTATGCATTTTGCTTGAAACAACGACGACGACAACAATAAAAAAAAAGAACCGCTGTTAACACGAAGAAGGAAAGAAAAAAAAAACAAACGAAAACAACCAAATCGAGCCAAGTAGACGTAGTGTAAATTGTGGAAACTGAGAAAAAGAAAGACAGACAAAAAAGACGCAAAGTTGAGAAAAATTGACCGAAAAAAAGGAGGCGAATGAACATGAGAGAATTCAGTGAACGAGAATGGTGAAGAGAGTTAAAAAAAATTTAATTTATAACTATATTACGCGAAGATATCGCACGCTGATTGCACTCTCTTTCTCTCTCTCAGACACACACACTCTCTGTGTGTTGTTATTCTAGCGAAGAAGAACGAGTAATATGCTCTTCAAATACACATAGTTTGTTGTTGGTTGTATTTTTTTTTCTTTTTGTTTTTATTCATTTCTCGTGTGTCGTCTTTCCATACACAGCGCACAGTGAGTAGATCAATGTACTCACACACACCATCACACATAGACACATACACAACGTTATCCGTGTGCGCATTCTAACGAGAACCAAATAAACAGGCAGTAAATAGACGCCATTGTTGAGTTGAGGCCAAAGCCAAAATACATAACTACGTCTTCAAAATAAAGTTTGTTTGTTTTTTCACTCGCTCGGCTGTTGTTGTTGTTGTTTTTTTTTTCGTTCATTCGTTCGTTGGTCTACGGTGTTGCGACCGTATGCGCATTCGTATCGTTTGTGCATTGGGTTGTGTAACGCACGCAAACGACAACAGCATCAACAGCAACAGCAGCGCGTTCACCTCTCTGTAGCTGGTGAACTGACTATACTGCCTGTGCGCTAACACTACACACAGCTGCTGCGGCGGCGGCGGCAAATATCTATCACTATAGGCCTGAAATGACAAATTTGTAAAATGTGAATCAGACGCACAAACACACCCATGTGCGCGACCAAGTCGATGTGAATGGAATCACAGAGTTCGGGATCCGGAGTCGCCAGAGTCTATCGCTTTATGTATTGCGCACTGAGAGCTGTACATACTACGTTCACATACTATACGGCTCGGCCGTACAACCGTTTGTGACACGACAACCGAGTACGAGAGAAAAAAAAAGCAGCAAAAACAACACACATCATCCAATTGACGTTCACAATATCCCGTAAATGTTTGTTTTGTATTTTTCTTCATTTTCATCATATCCGTCTATATACCACATACAGCTAAAGAGACGCTGCTATCGTACTTGCTGTACTCTGCCTATATATTTCAGCACGTAGTAGCTCAAGTGAGCGAGAGAAAAGACCATACAACTCGGTAAAAACGTGTTCGCGACCGCGTCCAAGTGCTTGTGCAAGTGTAAATACTGGTGGCGAACGTAGGCATCGGAATTGGTACGGTTTGTGTGAGTGCACGCACGCTCTCTCTCTCTCTCTCTCTCTCACAACGATTATGATGATGACCAATGCGTTTTTTGTCTGTGTATGTATGTGTTTCGTTCTTGTTATTCATCGTTCGTTGAATATTGTGAGTGAAGAAAACGAAAATAAACTACGACACACAGTGAACTACGCCAGTGTGACTACGTGCATGTTCGTGTATTTGTGTGAAAGAGAAATAATACACAACAACAACACACCATAATACATAACACATATCCAAAGCGAAAACGCTTTGCGCGCTCTGAACTAAATATTGCTCTGTGTGTTTGTTGAGCCGTACGATGAAAGAGTGAATTTGAACGTCGTGAGGTGCGCGCTATTTTTCCTACTACACATTCTACTACGAACCATTGCCATTGAAAGGAGCATGTAAGCTCTTTTGCTCTCAGTTTATATATCGTTTTCAATTCATATTCATTTTCTCGCATGGAATTTTGTAAGTTGACACAAACAACAGCGACGACGGCGACAGAAGCAACGTTTAACATTCTCGATTGATAAATTTGTACGTGGTATTTTTGTAATTGTTTGGTTTCGAAATTGTTTCAAAAGATTTGTTTTCTTGTCTAGTTTTCCATTTCTTCGATTTTTCCATTTATTATTTTATCGACGAAGTGAAAAAAAAACAAGTCAAAACAAAACACGGGTTTGTTTTTCATTTGTGCATGGTGGTAAAAATTGTGACTTTTAGTGAAACTTAATAAAAAAAAATAAAATAAAAGAAGAACAGACAACAAAACAAAACAAACTGAGACGACGAAGAGATCATCACACAGAATACGCGCGCGGTGCGTGTCTGCAAGAAAAGAGAGAGAGAGAGAAAAAAGGCCATAAAATCAAAACGAATCGCATCAAAACAATCGAAATCGTTTATGGTTTAATTTTGTGTGCAGTTTTATGCTGAAATTGACGAAAGAAACCGAAAAAAAACCCAGCAAAGTGAATACCGAAAAAGAAAACGCGAAACGAATTACGCGCACCGTGTGATCGAATAGTTGATTTTTGTTGTTGTTTTTGTTTTTTTTGTTGCCTTCTGGTTCAGTGTGTGTATTGTTTTTTTTTTTCTTCTGATTTGGATGACATTCTAAACCGGAATCAACACAAAAAATCGTACACCTTATGTGGTCGAATCATCATAAAAATAAAGTGAAAAAAACCAGAGAGACACACACATTAAAACAGATTGAGAGAGAGAAAAACAAAAACAACACCCGACAACAGCCACACATAATAATAAAACATTTTCGGTGCAGATTCATCTGGGTTCGTTATTGTTATTTGCGCGCGCGTACGGTGTAAGCAACGCACACGACACACACGAGAGAAAAGAAGTTGATGAGAAGAAAAAAAAGACACGAATAATTATCTGTCTCTCGTTGAACTCTCGGCTCTCCCAATAATAATAATAATAATAATAAAATAAACAACATCGTTGTATCGCGCCCGTTTGATTTTCGTGCGATGAGGTGACATTCAGAGAAGGCACAACAAAGTAATCAGTTTATTACATATTTTCGTGAGTTTTTCATTTCGATGCCACCCAACAACAACGACGACCGTCAAACGAACGCGACCAACGAGAAACTATCAAAGTGAGCGAGCGAGAAGGGAAGCGCAAGTAAGAAAATTCTCTGTGGTGGCGCTAAGTGTGATACGATTTATTTGTGCACATATCGTATGTGTATACGTGCTACTTTTTTCTCTCTCTCTTAAATTTGCCGTTTGGCTACGTGTTTACATAGGCAAAGTGTCGCGCAAATTTTTAGGTGAATTATAATAAAAATAAAAAGAGCAATAAAAAAACCAAGGTGAAAGAAAGAAAAAACTTAAACAAAACCGATAAACACGCTTTTTTTACATTCGATAACAGAAACGAAGAAGGCGAAAAATAAAAGTAGAATAAATCTCGCTCATTCACGGTGTTCATCTTCTCAATTCAAAACAGCGATTCTTCGACGCCTTCGATTTTTTATCGCAATAGCAGCGGAAGAATGGGTGTGCAAAAAAAAACAAAAACAAACAACGCACACACTTCAGACAAAAAGCGAAGAAATAAAAAAGCATAACAAAGAACAGTGCACGAGAGAGAGAGAGAGGGAGACTTCTCGAGGAAAAACAATTCACTGATACATTGTAGCCTGATAGTGCATACAGGAATAACGAGAGCCAACGTTGCCATTGATTGATCAATTGACTGAGTGATTCGAGTAAAAACAGAAAATAAGCATTAGCAAAGCAACCGAACGAATCGAGCGCGCATACATATGTATCGGCGGTTGTGTGACGGAGATTTATTTTTTTACTCTTTTACAGTGCAGTCAGTAGCAAGCGCACGATTGCAGATTTACAAACGAAACGAAAAAGCAGCAAAGGCAGCAGCAACAGCATCTAGAAATAACAACAACAGCAGCCACAGCAGCAGCACTAGCATCAGTCCGTGTCTAGCTGAAAGAGAAACAGCGAAAGGCGTTGATATTGTTGCACAAAACGGAAGATATATCTGGAATTTGGCTGGTTGACTGCATTCCTTCGGTCGATGCTCGAGGATTTTTTCTATGCGACACAATTCAAGTGAAAAATAACAAAGTCAAAACAACGACAACGACTTCGTCGAACGGCAAGAACGGGAACGAAAAAAAAAATAAGTAATCATACCAAATCCTATCCAACACTCTGGCCTAGCCACATGGTCATGTTGCATTAAACAAGAAGCAAAAAAGAGAGAGAGAGAGAGAAGAGAAAAAAAGCCAGCACGAACGTTTCATATTCCCATACTGGACATCACACGGTGTGACTATTTTTTTTTTAAATTCTATTTCGGTTCCAGTTCGCACCGCAGTGCCAAACGCGCGACACACACGAAGAGTGTGAACGAGAAGGGAAAAAAAGAGATTCATTCAAAGCGTTGAATTCACTTGACACGTTGTGAAAAATCACGGTGTGAGCGCGAGCGCGACAAAGTCCCATGCGCGCGCGCCTTGCCTCTGTGTGAGTACTCACACTCTGTCTCCTTCCCACGATGAATTGAAGTTTTGGTGGTGTTTTTTTTTCGTTTGTTGTTGTTCCCTCTTCTTATTATATTGCGTTGTACGGTAACGTTTTGTTGTTGCCGTTGATATTTTGAACGAAAAAATATATGGATTCAATTTCATTGAATGAAATCTACACACAACCGAGAAAACACACACACACACACACACGAGAGAACGAATCAGTAGAACAGAACAAAAACACAACTATCCAACGAATCGTCTCTATCAAATCGCTGCACGTTCAGCAAGTACCATACACGGTAGAAGCAGAACACGAGAGAAACAACAATAAGAGTAGCAAATATATCGAGTAATCAACCCATTTGGACGGAAAAAAATAATTCAAAGAAACAACAACAACAACGACGCAAAAAGCCCAAAATCAAAATATCAGACAAATCAGCAGAAAAATAACAACAACAACAATGACGACAACAACACAAGTCAAGTCGCGCGCACAACCAAACAGGCAAACAACGGAGAGCGAACGAGAACGAGAGCGACAACAACAACAACAACAACAGCAGCAGCAGCAGTAAATAGTACACAGTAAACATTACACCAGCCATAATATTTCGTTTCTTTCGGTTTCGATGTTACGTTGGACTTTGATTAGTTTTATGTGTGCTACTTACATTTGAGTCAAATGTATTGACTTCCATTGTTGTTGTTATTCGCGCTCGCTTGTCGTTTTTGTCGACAAGAGACCAACGCCGAAAACGAGAAGAAGAAGAAAAAAAAACAGCCCAACAACAACAAATAACAATCAAACAAAATAGCCCCGCTACAAACTGTATTGACTTGATATTTGTTGGCCTGTTGACGGTTTGTTTTCGTTCCGAATTATATCTGATTTGGTGCGGTTTAACATTTCATTGAAGAGCTGACATTACAAGTGTTTATGGGGGTCGCCCCGCTGGTGTGTGTGTATGTATTCGATACCAAGCAGATGAGGCAAATAACAATAACAGCAGCAACAGCAGCACCACAAGCAATGCCCACTGCAATTGTATGAGAACGTGTAAATGCGCGGCCCCGTTTGTTATTATTACATTGTCACACAATATCACACAATGTTTAATCGTGAATAGAGAAAAAGATCTATAAAAAAAAACAACAACAAATGAATGTCTCTCTGTCTTGTTTCAGACAAAACATATACCTCACCCACAACAAAAAAAAGTGTATGTATATAAACAAAAGCACACACGATTCTCTCTCGCGCGCAGAAAATAACATAATTCAGCAGCAGAAGCAGCAACAGCAAAAGAAGTTCAAATTAGAGACTAACATCGAATGTGCTGCTCTCAAGACCTATCTCGAATACAAAATATGCGTACGAATGCTCTGCAAGAGTTTAAACTGTGAATAACAAGTAAAACACGAAATCGACATAAACAAAACTGAACAGAAGATGAAGAAAAAACACCAACAGCAATAAACATTTCGTATGGAAAAACTATAACGGCAAAGCAGCCACATAACTTAGATAAAGAATAGTGAAGAAGAAGAAGAAAAAAAACAATCAAACGGAGGAGGAAAAACACACTCCTACAAACGAAGCGAATAAAGAAAATTCAACGGAGAAATAAACAACAACACAGAAAAAACACTTTTGTTTTTGTGTTACGATAGATACACGGTTTTCGTTATATTCTCAATCTCTCTCTCTCTCTCTATTTTGATTGGCGTATTGCTTTGCGCGCGTAACATCATTCTATCATTGTATGCGTGTGTGCACCGTGTGTGTCTGTGTGTAAATTCAATGTGAACGCAAGATATTGTTTTGTTTTTGTTTACAAGTTGATAAAATATCTAGTACTTACCGCGCGTGCACATTTTCACTTCGTTGCGTGTGTTTTTTTTTAGTTTGGATGAAGAGAGTACCGTGAGATATATACGTTTTGATCAATTTTTGTAATTGTTGTTTTCTGTTTTCGTTTTTCTGTTTTAAGACCCAAAAAATTGCTCCAAAGACATTACCGGTTAAATGTTGCTAATCAAGCAAAGAAACCACTTCAATCTCTATCCATTCGAAATGGCTGATGAAAATGAGAAACTGCTCATGGAGCTGATGCGGAAAAATGAAAATTCCATTTGTGCCGATTGCCGACGAAAAGGTAAGTCGTTCATCAGTTTTTTTTTTAAATTCTGTTTCTTTTTCTTCGCTTCACAATTCTCCTTCACTGGTCTTCAAATCTCTGGTTCGGATTGAAGCACATTTGGTACATTTCCAATTGATTGGAGATTGTGTTGCTGTTTTTTTTCTTTCATCGGTTTATTTAAATCGCGTATTTATTATATATATACCGGTTGTTTTTGATGCTGTGTGAATGTGTTATCAATGAATGCGGCTTTTGGTGTAAATTTTGTGCTTCTAAATTGATTCGTTTAGTCGACTGAATCTGAAGAAGTAGATGGTACAAGTATAAATGAAATGAAATGAAATGAAACGAAACTAAATCAAATAAACACAACAAGAGCAATCTTCAAACCAAACCCTGTGTTTGTGTGTACGGTATACACAAACACAGGGAGTGTGAGAGAGATAAATAATCAGGTTCTCATGATCGAACACCTGTATTTGCTTTTTGATTTCATCATTTCCTTCTTCTTCTTCTTCTTCTTCTTCCATTTTGGGCTATCTCTCTTTCTCTCTCTCTCTCTCTTTCTTTCTTCCTGTCTCGCTCTTTTTTCTCTTTTTCTTTCGCTCGCTCGCTCTCTTTCGGGTGTCTATCTTTATACCGGGAATCATTCATTTCCACTTGATATTCCTTCGTCTTTCGCGTTAAACATCCAAAATTTGTTACTGCTGTTGTTCGATGCAAGAAAATAAATTCAAAATACGGGCGCGAAGCGTTTGAAAAATGAACGGTAATCGAAATGCAAACGTATAAATCGCCAAAAAAAAAGAAGAACAACAACGACGACGCGAATTTAACAGATGAAAATGATACAAACGAAACGGCTTGATGTTAATGCACTGCTGATGCGATAACGGTTTCTATTCGAGCGAAGAAAGAAGTAAAACGCGCCGCATTTTTAGCCGGGTTTTTTCGGTGTTGTTGTTGTTGTTACAATCAAAGTCTCTCACACTGATAACCGATTGAAATGCATATTTTAACAATAAATAAATTCAATCGATGATATAATCTCGGCGGCTATAGCTCGTTTTTCTTCCATCGAATTGAATGCTCGCATCTCTTTACTCTTACTTGCTCGCATCCATCTCGTTCGCAGTAAAATTTTACGGAAGCAGACGGAGAGAGTACACGGTTTAGTTGAACGAAGCAAAAAGCGCATTTCTTTCAATTTCATCAGTTGAGCATTTCAATTTTTGGACGTGAAGATATCGGTCGTTGGTAATTTATTTTGTGTTTATATGTATGTACGAGAGTCTATTTGGTTTAATATTCCAAATGATAACATACATTCAATCACAATGAAAAATTACCGTCGTTTGTGCCGCCGCATTCAAATTCCAGTTTGTCTTCTTCTTTTTCCCTTCACTTTTTTCATTTTGTTGTCGTTTTCGAGAGCGCATTTTCGGTTTTACGTGTTTCGTATCGTCTGCGTGTTGTTTCGAAATAAAATGAAATTGGATCGAGACAAACAAATAGAATAAATCGTGTGTTATTTTATTTTTTTATTCATTTCATTTCGTCAAAAACCCGAATATTTCCTTTCGTTCGAAAACAAATAGAATCGTTGTTTCGTTTCCAACGAGAAAGGGAGAGAGAAAACACACATACACACACACAGACGAAATCATAATAATGCTGCAGCGGGCATTACGAAGAATGAATCCCATCCTACGGCTTACACAAAAGAAGAGAGAGAAAAAAAGGCACCAAATAGTTTACTCTCCTCGTCAAGATTGAACTATACTCAAGTGCATTGCATGGTGTGTGCAAAAGAGAGAGAGAGAGAGAGAGAGAGAGAGAGAGAGAGAGAGAGAGAGA